ATGTAGACAATAGGTGTTTTGATTACTGGTAGAGTAAGGGTTGCTTTGATGATATCATGTTGCCTTTGACAATTCTCTTAACTATTTTGTTAAGTAAAAATTACCTCCAAGTTACCTTTCTATTGTTTAAAAATTTTGTATTGGTGTAAGGAGACTACTTTGATGTTACTTCCTATCAGATAAAGTTAAAATTTCTTAGGTTTGCACATGGGGGCAGAGGAGGTCAAACTCTCCCTCTTTGCCAAAGATATGATCTTATACATGGAGAACCCCAAACACTCAACCACAAATCTCCTGGAAGTGATGAAGAGATACAGCAAGCTCTCAGGGTACAAAATCAAAGTCCATGAATCTGCAGCCTTTACATATGCCAATAACAGTCAAGTTGAGAAACTAATGGAACATACAATTCCCTTCACAGTAGCTTCAAAGGAAATGGAATACCTAGGAATATACCTAACAAAAGAGGGGAATGCCCTCCATAAAGAGAATTTTGAAACCCTAAGAAAAAAATAGCAGAAGAAATTAACAAAGGGAAGAGCATATTATGCTCATGGCTGGGAAGAATCAACATTGTGAAAAAGTGTATACTTCCCAAAGTAATCTACAAATTCAATGCAATCCCCATTGAAATACTGATATTGCAAGCAGAATAGGGACCTAAGACCCCATTCTTAGCAAGGGAAACACCACCAGAAAAAGGGGAAAATGAAAAAGTAAGCTAAGTGAGGTGGAACAAAGGAAAGTCAACTAGTTTAACTTTGAAACAGCCACTATTAAATTTCTTACCCGAGCAAGATTCCTGCTTTTCTTAAAAGCTGAGCCTGTTGGGGATATAGCTTGCAATCACCTCTCCTGGATCTGTAAACACTCTGAAGGAATAATGGCCACAGAGAATGCTATGTGCAAGGCCTAGCAAGAAACATTAACTAGGCCATCCCCTGCCTCCTTAACAGTCAAATCAAACAACCATTGTGGATTTGTATTTGGCTGGGGCAGAGATCAAGAAAATAGCTTGAGCCCTGAAATAAGGGTAGGAGGGCTTATCTCCCTTATAGCAGAGGAAGACCCTCTCATGGTGATGAGAGGAAAATTCCTTTCCCACTGATTCTTTGGAGGAGATTGACACCAGTGAACTACTGGGTATTAACAGACCTCTAGGAATCTATGTGTGTGACCACAGATGGGAGGCTGCCCCCACACAAGGCTCAGGTTCTTGTTTCTCAAGACTGTTCAAACCCTTAAAGTTAAGGATTATGGAAACAATAGAAGCTGATATGCTTACTCAGAGAAAGTGCTGACATCTTTGTTCCCTTCCTGAGCTTACTGTCTGGGCTAATAAACAAATAGCCTTAAATAAAAACTGAGTGGAACTGACACTCAGAGCCACCTGCCAGAACCCCACAAACAGGCAGTGGTCCCCTGTCTCCCACCTTTGAAAAGTCTATTCTGGGTGTCTTGTGTGTTTCTCTCTTGTCGTTTCTAAGTTACCTTTTCCCCAATCAATCATCACCATATCCATAGGTCTATATGGACCCTGCCCTTAGGTTGGGACCCTGGCACAACATCATACTTTTATTATTTGAAAAAAATAGTATGTTGTTTGGTATGGACCCAGACAAATCCCCATAAAGCCAAGGCAATTCTTAGTAGTAAAAACAAAGCTGGGGGGCATCACTCTATCAGATTTAAGGCTGTATTACAAGTCCATAGTGATCAAAAAGCATGGTATTGGCACAAGAATAGGAATTTAGAAGTTTAGAACCAAAGAGAAAACCATGAGATGAAACCAACATCTTATAGCCACCTGATCTTTGATGAATCAAACAAAAGCAAACACTGGGGAAAAGATCCCTATTCAATAAATGGTGCTGGGAAAACTGGATATCCACATGTAAAGGACTGAAACGGGATACGCACCTTGATTCAAGAAGGATAAAAGACTTAAATAGAAGGCATGAAAATACAAATATCCTAGAAGGAAGTGTGGGAAAAACTTTTGAAAATACAGGGCTGGGGAAAGATTTTATGGAGAAGACTTCTTTGACAACTGCAACAACAAAAATAAATAAATGGGACTTAATTAAAGTGAAAAGCTTCTACACAGCTGAGAACACAATGACCAAAGCAAATAGACAACATTCAGACCAGGAAAAGATATTTGCATATTATGAATCTGACAAAGGTGTGATAACAAGGATGGACAGAGAACTCAAATTAGTCAACAAAACCAGTGCTAACCATCCCATCTATCACTTGGCAAGAGACATGAACAGAACCTTCTCTCAGGAAGACTAATGGCTACCAAATATATGAAAAAATGCTCAAGGTCCCTAATCACTGGAGAAATGTAAATCAAAACCACCCTGAGGCATAACCTAACCGCAGTAAAATTACCCACATCACAAAGTCCCAGAACTACAGATGCTGGTAGAGATGTGGAGAAAGGGGAACACTTTTACACTGTTGGGGGGGATGCAAATTAATATGGCCTCTTTGGAAAGAAGTACGCAGAATCCTCAAAGAACTCAAATAAGATTTCCCATTTGACACTGCAAACACAGTACTAGACATCTACCTAGAAGAAAAAAAAATCATTTTATCAGAACAAAATTTGCACTAGATTATTGGTCAAACTCAATTTATAATCTCCAAGACATGGAAACAACCTATGTGTCCATTAACTCAAGAATGCATAAACTGTGTGTGGTATATGCATATCATGGTATACTACTCAGCCAGAAAAAAGCAGTGACGTCAAATCCTTTGTATTAACGTGGATGGAATTCAAACTCATTACTCTTAGTAAAATATCACGAGAATGGAAAATTATCCAATGTATTCAATACTAAACTGAAGCCAGTAGATCAGTGGTTCTCAACCTTCATAATGCCCCAATCCTTTAATACAGTTCCTCATATTGTGATGACCTCCAACAATAAAATTATTTGCATTGCTACTACATAACTGTCATTTTGCTACTGTTATGAATTGTATGTGTTTTCCAATGGTCTTCAGCGACCTCTGTGAAAGGGTTGTTTGACCGCCAAAGGGGTCGTGACCCACAGGTTGAGAACCACTGCAATAGTTGCTATAATGTATGCCCACATAGGAGAAAAGCTCATTTCAATTCTATCCTGGGGAAGGGACTTCAAGGGAGGGGGGAAGAAAAGGGCGTGGGGTGCTCCCACTGAACGGGCATGGTCTGGGAATGTTTGGTACACCTTTCGAGTGTGGGAAATAACTACAAGAGGCACTCTACCTAACAAATTCAAATATTTCCACTTCATTGTTTGTACCCTCTGATTGACCTGAAATCTAAAAATGTTTTATTTCTAGATGTTTGTTCCCTTGCATTTCAGTACAAAAAATATTAGACCTGTAACAGAGGCAGAACAGAATGGAGAGCCTACTCTTGCTGTTCTGCAGAATCACTGGCCTTCTGATAATAAAGCTGGTTTGAACCTAATCCCCGTCTCTGCATATTGGCTGGACAGTGACAGGCAGCCAGACCCTCTTCATCTGGTAACAACTGTTCTAGTATGTACAGAGAATTATTCCACTGAATGAATATATCAGTTCCTTTATTCACTCACCTACTAAAACCTAGTTTTTGGTGATCAGGTTGTGGAATAAACTTATGAATAATGCTGCTAAGGATATTCATAGAGAGGATGATATGGGGAAGTTCCTAGAGTGAAGCTGCTAGATTATAAGGTAGGTATAAGTTTAACTTGATAACCTCACCAGGAAAAACACCCCACATCTCTTTAAAATAATTGAAAGAGGTTTTATTCTGAGCTAAATCTGTGTAGCCACAGCCTTCAGAACGTGGTCTCAAGAGTTCTGAGAAAATGCAGCAACGGCAAGCAAGCAACAGGTTAGTTTTATACATTCATGAAGACAGAAATCACAGGTAAAACCATAAGTTCATACATAGAAAAAAGTATGCATTGCTTTGGCCTGAATAGGTGGGACATCTTAAAGCAGGGGCTTACAAGCCTTAGATATTCTTTACTGGCAAGTGGTTGAAAAAGTGAAGTTTTATCTAAAAACCTGATTCAGTAAAAAGAAAGGCTTGAATTAAGATAGGAGGTCTGCTACAACCTTTGAGTTAAGATAAGGGGGTCCTTCATGGGTCATGTGTTACTCTACCAGAATCAGGTCAGAAAGTAAGCCACATTACACTGGCTAATCTCAACCCATTTAAGGAGACGTTTTCATAGTAAGCGTGACTCACCAAGCCGTGTACAAAGAAATTTGGGCAAGAGAAACAAATAAGGTCAGAGTTCAGTCCTCTGTAAGATACTATCATTACACACATGGATTTTTCTACTCCAGATATTTGTTTGCTCTTACATTCCATCAGTCACACACAATTCCATTCAACTGTTACAAATTGTACTTTTACCCTCAAAATTCCTTTAAGGAGGAGCTTCCACTCTATTTACCAGTAAGTACCATTCCCTCTTTTAATTACAGGTTGAATGCCTTTCTCATTTAAGGTTAAAGAAGAAGAATAACTCATTAACTGTCCTAAACCCATTCATTGCACCAGAACCATTCATTTCCCCCGGACCTGTGACTAAGCTTGGAGGACAAGGGACTTTTCAGCTCACGTATACACTATTTTTCTTAATTCCTCTCCAGTTTCTTTTTTGTTTGTTTTGTTTTGTTTTTTCCTCTTCCCTAGTCCCCTGCCCTATGCCCTTCAGCTCACTGAGTTCAGCCTCCCCTGCTGAGCACATGAGCACACCATTGTTATGTAACAGCCTAACCTTCCCCATTCACCTCTCAGGAAGTGCCAAGCCTGCAGTCTCACTCTGCTCTCCTTATGAGACAGTTGATGCCTTGGGGATAGTCCTGCCTACCTCCCACTTGACTATATTTTTTGTGGTCCAAAGCGCCTCACTGATGGGGCCTGACTGGG